GGCCGTAGGATTTTTTCGACATTTTTTCGGATTTTTTTTTATACTCGAATGGCTCGTTAAAGTTTTGGAAATTTTAGAGAGAAAGAGAGAGTAGAGAGAGAAAAGAGAAAAATGAGAGAGAGTGTAGAAGGACAAAAACGTAAAAGGGAGGGGGCGGTGACTAGTAAAAGGGGTAGTAAATAGCGATTCACTTTTGAAAATTATGGCGTCGAATCTCCAGACCGGCTCAGGACCTGGGCCGGCCATACCATGGGCCTGGTTCCTGGTTGGGCCTCCGACGGTTGGGCCCAATCTTTTGTTATCTAAAGCCCAATGAATTGGAATCTGGAGCCCAATCCTTCGGAATCCAGTGTCCTCTTCTCTATTCAAAACTGCCAATCGCCAATTACGATTCAAAAATCACTTGTGTTGAAAGTCGAAACCGCCATTAATGTTCGTACCAAGCTGCGAAGATTTGCCGGCGTCACCTGTGCCCATAGAACCACCGATAAGGGCATGCAAGCGAGAACGGCCATGGTGGCGATCCAGCGCCGGGCCAAGCTCGGCCCGTTGGTCGCCCCCTTTTCTTTGGTTCTGTAGATCTGACTGGCAATCTGCGGCTGGTCGTCGCCGACGATGGGTGGCGAGGCCCTTGCCGGACGGAGCGCCCGACCGGAAAATACTGCGGCGTTTAGATTCTATGAGCACGGCAACCTTTTCTCGGTATAAATTACACTGCGTTCGAATAATTTACAAAATCGATTGCTCTGTTCTAATTTCAGGATGTCTCTCTATCTTTGTTTGCCATGTTAGATTTGCGTTGCTTGCTGAAAATAGCACAAGCAAAGCTCCACAAATTGATTGAAAATATATGAATGATTGCTGGTAGCTCAACATTTTACATTTATTGATTTCCTGAGGAAAGAACACTTGTTCAGGTTTTGATCATTCGAAATTTACATGGGTTTTACCCCAATGTAGGTTACATTTTTTAAATTTACGTCGGTTCTCACTAATATACGTAGGTCATTTATCAAAAATGGACAAGCCCATAGCAAGTGAACTAAGAGTGTTGAACACGAATGGATACATTGGCCATTTCTTGAGTGACCCACCATAAGGTCATCGACCTTGACTTGAGAGGTTCTCAGCTGGTTGTGCTAAAACCACATATTAGTACTCTCTTATCTTCTGAGTTTCCTGCAGGGACCAGAAACGTTTTTTATCACTTTCACAAGAGTAAAGACGAACAACTTCATTTCTAATAGGGAGAATTCACCATTTGTCTGCACTCAAGTGGACACCAAAACTGTAATTGCCCTTTGTACTTTGCTGGACATCATTGAATCCTATTACCAGAAAGCCAAGTAAAAATTACTGCCTCTATGGGGAGACCAATCCAAGACTGCTTCACATTTCTTCTATTCTTCATATCCTTTCTAGCAGCCACCGCACTTTCAGAAGGGCAGGACATGATAAACTCAACTCACATGATCACAGAAGGCAAGACATTGATATCATCATCTCAGGGCAGCTTTGAGTTGGGTTTTTTCAGTCCTGATGGCTCCAAGAACCGATATATTGGTATATGGTACTCGACGAAAATCGTTGCACCCGTAACGGTGGTCTGGGTCGCCAACAGGGACAACCCGCTATCAAACACATCAGGGACTGAGCTCAAAGTCATTAGCCCTGGGATTTTGGCCATTCTAGACGGCTCTGGCAAAATCATATGGTCATCGTCATCCAACACATCATCACTAGCCGCACAGGAACCGGTTGCACAGCTTCTCGACACGGGGAATCTCATCCTGAGAGAAGCAAACGATGAAAACCCGGAGAACTATCTGTGGCAGAGCTTTGATTACCCGACCGACACATTTTTACCTGGGATGAAATTAGGCTGGAATTTGTTAACAGGTCATGAAAATTACCTCTCCTCCTGGAGGAGCAGCGATGATCCAGGTACCGGAGACTACTCGTTTCACTTGGACCTTACGGGATACCCCCATGTAATCCTCATAAGGAAACCTTCTGTCGTACGTTACAGGGGTGGGCCCTGGAATGGAGTATGGTTCAATGGGAATCCCGGACCGAGCAGGAATAATTTAGCCACCTATGGTCTGGTTTTCGACGAAACAGAGGTGTATTTTCATTATGAGATTCTCAGCAATTCTGTTATGGTCAGGGTATTCGTTAACCAGCGTGGAATCATCCAAACCTTGGTTTGGGTTGACCGGGAATGGAATGTGACAGAACCCAACACCTGCGATTCGTACGGGCATTGCGGTCCATACGGAAGATGTGATATTCGAAATTCTCGAATTTGTGAGTGTATGGAGAATTTCGTGCCGAGGTATCCAGACAAATGGGCAGCGACCGACTGGTCTGGTGGCTGCTTACGGAAGACTTCCTTGGGCTGCAAAAGTGACGGGTTTGTTAGGTATTCGGACATTAAATTTCCTGATACCAAACATTCTTTGCTTAATGTGACTATAAATTTGGAGGAGTGCAAGGTCATGTGCCTGATGAATTGTTCTTGCATGGCGTACGCCAACTTAGATGTCAGACCAGGGCAAAGTGAATGTATGCTTTGGTTTGGTGAACTGGTCGACATGCGAGTTGGTTATGGAGCAGGACAAGATCTTTACATTAGAATGGCTTCTTCAGAATTCGGTATGTGTTTGTGTTCTTTCTTCAAATCGATATTTTTGTAACATATCATAAATTATATCGTGTGCCCTGGGCCAAACAGCATCACATTGTCAAAACAAATACAAACTATTTGTTCAAATGTTAGTGCAACGACATATATACCGTTAATTCGTCCATTTTATAAATAAACTGCGGATGTATATCTGCACGACTGATATACACTAAAGCTGCTAGCTCAACAACGAGGGGCATTTTAATAAAATATTTGGAAAGGCCACAAAGCATCTAAATCCTTGTAAAACAAGATTTTATCGTGGTTGATGGAATTATCCAAAATAGTAACTTTGACTTTTTAATTAAATTGGTTGACTTACAATTAAAGTACTTTAATATTTATAAAAAATGAAAATTAAATTATACCTTTTATAAATCGTGCTATCCGATTAATCGCACGAATTTCTATATAATAAATTGGTTTCAATTTTGAAAATTATTTTGTAATTATTATCCCAATAAAAAATTGATTCTTCATATTAATTACAAATAATAGTAATTTTTTTTGTAACCAACTTTAACATGTTTTCAAAAAAATCTATTAAATATATATATATATATTTTTAGAAAATATTATTTGAATATGCATGATAAGATTACTTATATAATTACAAAATAAAAATTCTTTTGTTGGGTCAATAATTATAAATCTAATTCTGCGAAATATCAAAAGAAATTAATTTAACTATTTATCATTAATAACAAACTAATTTTTATCTTTAACGACAAATCATGTGTCTCCTATTTTGTTGGGTATCCAGCTAAATGTAGTCAAAATATATGATTATAACATTGCAAAATATAAGTACAAAATAAATTTAGAAATCAATTGCAAAAATTTTATTGATATAACTACTACTATACTATGATGGAATTGACATCTCAACATTAATAATAAATCCTACGATTTTTTATTCATTTTGTAACGAATCATATAGCAAAACCCATTTATTCAAGTCGTTCAAAAATATCATTTGATTTTATCAATAACTGTACCAAATTAATTTTTTAAAAATTCATATTACGATTCACAATATCATAACAAATTTCATATAAATTAATGGATTAAAAAAATTATAATATGTGTAATACTGTAAATTATAAAAAAAAAATTAAATAATATTCATGTAATTGAAAGTTATTATTTTTTTTTTAAATTCAAATAATGTATATTACAGTAGTTTTCAATTAAGTGTTTGTTATAATATTTGCCAAAATCTTTCAACTTTAGCCTAACTTATTTAGGAATCGAAATAATATATTGTAACAAGATATGAGTAAAAGAAGAAAGAGAGAGAAGTATTATTTATCAATAATATTTGAATATGTTAAATTTTTATTTGCCTTAATTATAAACAGGATCTAAAATGACAACTATTTTATAACAAGTGAAATAAACATATAAATCATATTAAATTATTATATATCATGCAGTAAAATAAAAAAAATTATTAATATTCAAAATTATTTTTATACTAATTAATATCGCTTCATTGCTTCAAAACATTCAATTATAATTATTGACCCGTGCATTGCACGGGCTACGTACTAGTTTTTAATAAAAGGACAGAAAAAATGATTGACTACACTAACGACTAGAAAAATTTGGTTGCAATTTCTTATGTTTGTATTGCCCGAATCTTTCATTCCAGCATCAGACTCCAAAAGCAACAAAGGCAAAATACTCATAGGGAGTTTGACGTCATTGGTGGGATTGATTTTCTTAGGCTTGAGCTTCACGCTTTACATTTGTAAGACCCACAGAATATGCATGTTGAGGAAGGGAGGTAAGCAATCTCCCTCTTAACAAGAAATGGAAAGTTGTCACTATTTACTGAGAAAAAATGTAGTGTTCTTGTGTTTAGAGAAGTTGATGTTTATAAAAACAATTTGGCTAAAGATAGAAAGATAAAATTATGATTTGGCGTGTTGCAGGTTGGCATAAAGAAAATAAAGACCTGGATCTTCCTTCATTTGCTTTCTCGACTATATATAAAGCTACTAACAATTTTTCCAAGGACAAGAAGCTTGGAGCTGGTGGATTTGGACCTGTCTACAAGGTAAATTTTGCATGCTGCATTTCATCGGCTTAAACAACTCTTCACTGACGATAATAACAATTCCTTATGCCCAAAAAAAAAAAAAAGAGAGAGAGAGATATCAAATCAAGGAAGAGGAAGTTAATTATGAAAGGGAAAAATATTGTTACGAGACATAAGGACTCATTGGCCTCTTGGTTCCTGTAGACCATTTACGCTCAACTTTAGCGGTACTGAATACTATTGTCCTTTCGGGATGCTTGTATTTTGAAGTTAGTTTGCAAAACTGCTTTTTATATCTTAACAACAAATACCAATAGTTCTTCTGATTGAAACTATGTTGTGTGGTTTTCCGAATGACCAGAAAATAAAAGCAACGAACAAAATAGTTGGTCGAGATGAGTATAAGATTCTCTGTAATGTGAGGTTGCACATATATTTGCTCACGGTGTTCGGCAGTCGCCAGTAAGATAAAACGACTTGTGGAAAAGAAATCTCTTTAGAGTAGAGGCCCCATCATTTGGCTTGAAAGATCATGACTTTTCGTAACTAAAGGATGCATGCAATCAAACGTCAAAACTAACGTGCCTCTTCACAAAGAAGTGATGTGTCATTTGCTTTATACTGAACGAATGTATCTCATTATGTCTATTCAAAGAGATTCATACGCTTGAATAAACATGTATATTCGAATAGATGCATCCATTCAAATATTCGTGTCAACATCGTCAAATTCAATGGTGTGATGATGATGTCAGGGTACGCTTGAGGATGGACGTGAGATTGCTGTGAAGCGTTTGTCAAAGACATCGATGCAAGGAGTTGATGAATTCAAGAATGAAGTGATATCTATTGCCAAACTTCAGCACCGTAACCTCGTGAAGCTTCTTGGGTGGTGCATTTATGGGGATGAGAAGATGCTAATATACGAGTACATGGCCAACAAAAGTCTGGACTTAATCCTATTTGGTCGGTATTTCTCACATCAAAGCAATCCTATTATATAGCAATGTGTATGTGATGCAGTCTAAATACTAACTGTACCAACAACACTTGCAACAGATCAAGAAAAAAGTAAATTACTTGATTGGCCAAAGCGCGTTCAGATTATCAACGGTATTGCCAGGGGACTCATGTATCTTCATCAAGACTCACGACTGAGAGTCATCCACCGTGACCTGAAAACCAGCAATATACTGCTAGACATGGACATGAACCCAAAAATATCGGATTTCGGCATGGCCAGAACCTTTGGAGGGAATGAGACTGGAGCCTGTACATCGAGAGTTGTTGGGACATAGTAAGATTCTCAACCCAATAATACATCTGATGTGAAATTACAATTGATTGATATGTAAAAAGTGTCATTTTTTTTTAGTGGTTACATGTCACCAGAGTACACCATTGATGGGTTGTTCTCAGTGAAATCGGATGTGTTTAGCTTTGGAGTTATGGTATTGGAAATACTGAGCAGCAAAAGGAACAGAGGATTTTCCCACAAGGATCATCACCATAACCTTCTTGGGCATGTATGTGTACTGCACTACGCGAACTATCTTGCATTGACATTGAATCATAACTATTTTTCAAGAACTTTTTTAATCTGATCATATTTCCAATTTTTTTTCGGCAGGCATGGATGCTTTATAAACAAAGGCGGCCCATAGAGCTAGTTAACGACTATCAAAGCGAAACATGCGACTCGTCTGAGGTGCTGAGATTAATCGAGGTGGGATTGTTGTGTGTACAAAAATATCCTGAAGATAGACCAAGCATGTCTTTGGTTGTATTCATGCTGGAGAATGATGTTGAGCTGCCTGAAGCTAAAGAGCCTGGTTTTTTCACAGAAAGAGATGCTTTTGCTAATGATCAATCAATCAGCAGCACCAGTGGAGTTTCAACAAATGAGATCACACTTACTACTTTTGAAGCAAGATAGGGACACCTTAAATTCCTGGTGGCTTAACAATTCATATATTTGTGACTCGAAACCAACGGTTCGCTAACAATTCTTTTTTATTTTTCTATTTTTTTTTTCATATAATAACTCATTTCACCTCTACATTTTGTACACCAATCCTCTTCATCTTTTTAATTTTCCTATTCTCATTTCTCTTACTTCGACTCTCTCTTAAGTTTTGGTAATCTAGTATTGTTTATCTTATTATGATTTAAACACGTTTAAAGCTCAATTTCATTAATTAAGTTACAACTTCAAAATTGTAAAATCTGAATTATCCTCGGCATACAAATTCACAAATGAATAGAAGATGGAAAAATATCCATGTCCCTATCAAGCAACTCGTCTTTTTTGGGGTTCATGGCCAATCAAGCAACTCGTTTTTTATTTCTCGATCGAATAGGATCAAGTTGAGACTTTTGTTGACCATGTACGTATTCGTAAAATAACATATTATCCTCTCCTTGACTGCACCACACAAGTAGCTTCTTCACAAAGTTGCGATGCTAAAGTTTGGCAATATAAGTCGCTTAATTCTTGAACTCGTCAAGTTCCTTGCATTGATATTTTCGACAGACGAATGACAGCAATTTTCTTTTCCATCCTCAAGCGTTAAAAAAAAGACAAATATTAATGATAATAAAGTGGTGATAAAATAGATCGATCTGTCCTGTCGGCCAAAAAGTGGGGTGATTGTTAGATGGGATACACAAAATGCAAGGTGAAGTAGTCTCCATGTAGACATTGTTCTTAACTGTGTGAAAGCTTTCTTGGCTTTCATTGACAGGTGAGATTTAGTTTGATGCATTCAAGGATGTCCAAATCCTGCAAAAAAATCAACAGCAATAGTATAGTTTTGGAATCTTGTCTTAGTGTAGTGGATTAGACTTTGTTGTGTGGGAAAAGAGGAAGTCATTATAAGTGTTTCTCTATAGGGGAGCTGGTAAAAAATATTTTAATAAGGTGAATGATAAATTAATTATAAAGTTGTATACGTGGAGAAATATAAATGTAAAGTTAAAATTTGAGGTTTCAGTAACTCAAATATTACTGGATACGCAAGCGTTCAGTCAATGAAGAATGATTGGGCAAGTCGAACGAGTAATAACTATACACAAAGCATGCTGGAACTCTAAATAAGGTTTGTTGAGGATGAATATGATTCAATTGGGCACTTGAAGCCCGTATGAGCTCGCACCGTGACGCATGCTCGGGGCCGACCATTTTTTCATCTGCCGAGAGCTCGATCGGTAAAAGTTGGATATAAAAAACAATTACGTCGCAATAACATAAAGGATGACATAAACTTTGATATAATATTTGATTTTTGTTTTTTCATTGCACCACATTTAAAATCGAAAACCATTATACATCAAAAAAAAAAAAAAA